TTTGTAAACAGAAAATGGAAAAATGTTACTTTACAAGCAAAAATGTTACCAAAGATAATTTTAGATGTTCCTAAACACTTTTTCACAATATCAAACACACGTTTTACTTGTTTTCACTAATGCAAATCAGCAGAAAATGTTTTAAAAGACGGAAATGATAGGAATGACTCTTTTACAATTTTACTCACTCTGCAACACTTTTTTCTTGTTTTAATAGTTGAAAATGGTGACTTTAAATGTTTTATCGTTGTCTCAAAGCAGAATTTTATTTCAACCGTTCTTTTGGACATCTACTGACAAACAAGGATAAGTTGGACTGGCGCAGAGAACGGGTTTACGAGAAGAAGGCGGTGCACGGCAAAGAGCAAACCCATTTGGTTTGTTAAAGGTGGAGCAGATGTAGGCTAGTGCACGTGCAGTACATGACAATGAAATTGATTCCGCGCGTAGTTGCACACGCCTTGCTCTTAAGACTCTCACGTGATCGGTGTAGCACTACACTTGATCGTGGACAACCTGGGACCCCTTTGCTCACAATGGCAAGCACTCATACATGCTAATACGAGTCACTTGTCAGGTCGGTGCTCAACTTATCCTTGTTTGCCAATAAATCACTGTTATTGGTTTATTTCGGCATGGTCGAAAATAGGACAATTTAACTCTTCTGAAAAAGATGCATTCCACGTAAATATGAATGCGAGAATTGAGAAATCTTTTTCGTGATTTGCATAAAGCTGTGTTGTTAAGCGTTCTTGTAACCTAATGCCTTCTAATAAATCTTTGATAGTTTTTAAGTAATTCATAAAGGTAGGAGGGTAACGTTTCTGTTGGCGTTTAGTGCATGTATCTTCTCGTGTATTCGTAGTGGATAGTGATGTAATCATTATCAATTCATAAAGACCTTCATGCAAACAAGCGTACCATATATTACGTTGATTACATGATGCAGTATATACAAATTGGGCCTCAGATCTTACATGTACAAGTCCCTAGTATGGTGATCTACCTACTGTTGTTGGCAATATATAGCCTGTTTTTATACTGTATTGTCTTTCATAGTTAAGATGCTTTAGATTTTCACACTAGTTTTATATTAATATAACTGTGATATTCTAGCTATTTTACTCTCCTTTGCAGACAGGTAAGTATTTTATCTAAATTTGTCTTTATTCATTTATAGATTTCCAACTTTTTTTGGCACGATATGGCTGAAATACTGCCGATGTGACTTTACATGTTAACTCACTCAGTCACATATGTACAATTTTCTGCGGGTCAGAAGTATTTTGAAAGAGTATGTTATTTCAGAAATTGTTGGACACGGCTTCTAATAACAGTTCAAAAGATAACCTTATTATGGAGTGTGAAATGAGAAAGTACTTGTTGAATAATATTTTACACTGTTGATATTACCATCAGCTATATAACTTGTACATTACCATTTGTATGAAATTGTCATTTATATAGTGGTCTAAGACCTTAATCCTGATTGGTTGATTGATTCTCCGAAATTTATTGCTTGTTTGGTGGCATTTGGGTAAAATAATCCAAGGGATTTGCCAGTAAGCCGTCCATGCAAGTGCCACTCTAAGTAAACTTAGGCTCAGTATTATTCGTTACACTGCTATACTGAGTCTACGAAAACCAGTAGAAGGTCGTGTCAGCTAACCTTTTGAATTGAATAATGTGAACACAGCTTTCCAAATCGCGAAAGTTAACATTCGCACATACCGTTTGAACTTTTACCTCGAAAACCTTTGTATTCGAACGATTTCGAATGCTATGTTCGGCACAATCGCTTCCGATGTCATCTTGCGGAAATATAAGCTAATAGTAACCATGTCATCAGAAACCTTTAAATGTATATACTGCAGGTCCAATGTCTGTGTTTTATGCGGATTTTCGATTGTTGAGAAATCAGTGTCTGACTGTCAGCTACCGGGGAAGATAAAATCCAAAAACATCTTGTAAGTCCCGCCGAACCCTAAATAGTAGCTCTTGTCTGATTGGTTAAATCCGTTCGGCTGTCTCGCGTTTGACTGGACGGCCATAGGTCGCGCAAAGGTTAGCTGATGCGATTTTCCCAGAATCCATTATAGATAGAGAAACCAAATTTAGTATGTGTTTTCAATTTGTTACAGAGTTATGGCCCTTGTCATGCGTTTCTTGACTTTGTGAACGTTTTCCCCAATGGGAACAGATTTTCTCAATAACCGTTATATACTCCTCACAAAAACTTAAGCAACACACATATTAGTCTCATTACATATTAATTTATTGAAATTACAAATCATGGCATGATGCAATAGAAAGGTGAAACATATGTAACAAAGAAATGAAATGATATTGAGCATAATAGACTTACAAATGATCAACAGTCGAAACAGTCGTGCAAAATGTGCTGCATTGATGGAGCAAAATGTTAAAGGTCACGTGCAACGTAAAACACAACTTTGCAGATTCTGATACCTTTCGGTATGGACTTACCGAAACAAATCGTCAAAAATGCAAATTCAACTTATAAAGTTGGAAAATAACGCGATGAAAAAAAGCGCGCGAAATCGGATTTCAAACGTTTCACTAAATTTCCCCGGACTTTCTGGGGAAAACGGGTTTCAACAGCTGGGCTGCGCTCATAGCATGTGCGCAGTGAAATAGGTGGAAGCGGGTTGTCTGGTGAATACTCGGTGAAGGCTTTGGTGTGAGCTATTTTTCTAATGTTTTGTTGATATCTCACAGGCGCGAGCTTTTTATATGTTATGACAGTAAATTAACTGTTTATATAATTTCATTTGTCTATTTCACCACACGTTCTTCTTACCGAGTCACTTTCTCAGTTCGATACTTAAAAGCAATGTCATTATTTAGCGTTGACAGAATTTCTAACTGTGATATAGATATGTCGTTGTCACAGACAAAACTCAATGTCTTGTTTTATTGACACCTGTGTGTCTGCCTGCCTGTCTGCTAATGACCATATTCAATACACAACTGCGATCACTGATCACATGCAATTTGAACTTAACACCAATCAGGCTATATACCATAAATAAAATGCATTGATTTATGGCCCGAGTTCGGTCTCTGTCACATTATGTAATTACACAGACAGGCAGGTGTGATACTTGAACACATGACATGTTATGATGTCTGTTGATCACACACACACACACACACACACACACACACACACACACACACACACACACACACACACACACACACACACACACACACACACACACACACACACACACACACACACACACACACACACACACACACACACACCTTTGTCCTGAAAGTTTATTAAATGACCATTGAAACTCTGGTGAAAATGAAGTGTGCACCCTCCCTTTTCTCAATAGTGTGCACCCCCCTTTTTTCAAAAAGCTGTATCCGCCCCTGGAATGTTCTGCCATTCTCTCTGTAACGCCTGCTCAAGGTCCTCCAGAGTCTGGGGGTGAACATGGAGACCGCAAACACGACTTCCAATAATACCCCAACCATGTTCAATGGGATAAAGATCAGGTGACCTTGCAGGCCAGTCCATATGTGTGATGTAACATTAGTTATATTTGGGATTACACTTTCTCAGTAAAGTACAGATTCTAGTACTCTTTTGTGGGTTGAGTCCCATCCGGGATTCAAACCCACACCCTCAGAGTCAGGCACCTAATCGCCAGCACACAAAGTCAGACGCCTAGACCGCTCAGCCACCGCGGCTTCCACAAAAATGGAAGTCGGACAACTGGTAGTCTAGACTGCGGACTTTGTGTACCCCTCTGAGAAGTGTTAATTGGCACGGCTCCCACGGTCGAAAGCCGTTACATTTGACCACTTTCTAAAATGGCATTGTGTATTTCATATGTGTGATTTTGTTGATCTAAGGAACATCATTAACAACTCTTTCTCGGGCATTATCATCCATGGACGGGCATTATCATCCATGGGCGGGCATTATCATCCATAAAAATGATGTTAGGACTCGTTTGTTGTAACAGAGGAATGATTACAGGTATGTTTACACCGATCAGACTGCATATGTGAAGACGGTACACATTCATGCCACAAACTTACGGTGATGTTGTCAATGTTATCTGATAAATCAATCTGACTGTCACTAAAGGTTATGTATTCTTTGAATATTTACCTTTCAGTAACATGTGAGCAAAAATCGCTATCGAGACTGATAAAGATATGACACTGGAAATACTTGTTGCTTAATTTTTTGTGAGGAGTATATTAGAGGGAAACCAAATGTGGTATGTGTTTTCAGGACATGCATTTCATGATGTAGTAAAAAACAGGAAACATGTTACTACTTTTAATGGAGTCATAACCCTGTGTCTTATCTTTGGAGGCATAACAGTAATCCTCTCAGTAGTCATTTAACAGCTAATGTGTCGCTATTTGTAGGAAGAATAAATAGTTGTCAAAACAGAAACAGAACACTGTGGGGGATATTGTTATGTGATAAGACACGTAGTATAAAAGTATTACAGACCAATAGATATCATATTGTGAAAGCAGACAATTAGGTGTGTCTACGTATTTGCAGATGTGGCAGGTTTAACGACCATTTTGCGTTTCTCTGAAATAGCCAGGAATGATGTATGCAGAAATATATCAATTCCAGTCATAGTGTAATCACATCATGTTAAACTCGTGAAGATCTGGAATAGAATTGGTTTCCAGCAACCCATGTTTGTTGAACGAAGCGACAAATGGGGTCAGGTGGTCAGGCTAGCTGGTTGGTAGATGCATGTCACCATATCCCAGCAGTGTAGATTGATGCTCATGATATCAGTCACAGGGTTGTCTGGTCCAAACTTGATTATTTATAGAGAGGCATCATACTGAGCTGGAAAAACCGAAATGTGTTAAATATCCCGACCAGAACAAAACACACATCCTGTTGAACTGTGAGCAGTTCTATTATAATGGCTGATTTACATATTAGACAACAGCAATGGCAATATTTTCATGTTCATTTCTAGAGTTTCTCAGCACTGCGTGAATCTGAAAATGGACGACATTCATGTGGATGTTGCAGTTATTGGCGCTGGCATCAGTGGTGAGGACAACTCAGCTTCACTCATTAAATTGTCAAACTCTCTCCCATATAAATATTCTACATGCACTGACAAGTGTCTCGACTCATGCATGTTATCAAACTGCCAACAATATGGATGGTTACTATGGTTACTATATGCTGGTTGTTCTCTCTATCTGTTATATACAGGGCCACAGCAAGAATTCAATTCTTCTGTGTGAAACAATACGCAATTTCATTGCGTGGAAATATGTACATTTAGGATTAATATATTAACTTTGTGACATGGGTTAAAATTGCATCTAGGGCTATCTATAGCGGCAGAGGTAGTTACAAGATGTATACACTAAGTTCTCGATAGTTACACAAACAGCTTATACAAGTTGAAGGTATTTTAGATGTTGTTTGCTTGGGTCTTTAACATTTACTCACAAATATTAACATGAACTCTTCCAACATGATCATTGATGATTTGACCTTGAGGATGTAACAGAATACTTGCAGCACCTGCTAATGACATGATTTCTCTTGTCTCAAACCTTGGTAAACTTGATAACACATATTTGATGGTCTCTATAGTAAATATCCAAGTTACCACAGTTTTACTGCATATGTGAACTCTGATTATCTTTCTATGAGGGCTAAGTGCTGCCTGTTTACTCAAGAAGAGTGGACTGAGTGTTGCTGTCCTCGAAGCCCGGGATCGCGTCGGAGGACGGACCTACACAGTCAAGGTACAAACATTGGTCTACCTTAGTCTTGTCTCATTAGCTCCCTGTCAAAGACATTGCCAGCTTATATAATTGTCTTCATTCTTCTATGCATCCTGGGCGGTGTGGTACCCTAGTGGTTCAAGCGTTGGTCGTCACGCCGAAGACCCAGGTTCGATTCCCCACAGTGGCACAATGTGTTAAGCCCATTTCTGGTGTCCCCCCGCCGTGATATTGCTGGAATATCGCTAAAAGCGGCGTGAAACTAAACTCAGTCAGTCAGTCAGTCTATGCATCCTTCAGCTCTGAACTGAACTCCAAGTTATTCAACACATTGAAGTCATTTTCTCTAAAAATGCTAACAAAAGAACAGGTCAGGTCAGCTGCTGTTGTAGTTCCTTGTAAACCTGAATGCTATTATAATTCTGTCATCTTATTGACATAATGACTGACTGACTGAGTTTGGTTTTACGCCGCTTTTAGCAATATTCCAGCAACATCACGGCGGGGGGACAACAGAAATGGGCTTCACACATTGTACCCATGTGGGATTCGAACCCGGGTCTATGGCGTGACGAGCCAACGCTTTAACCACTAGGCTACCCCACCGCCCCTATTGACATAATGAGGTCTATGAAGCTAAATTCTTGCATTGATGATGTATGGTGCCTGTAAGATTGGCTCACAGATTTGCAATCTGATCTTGGTCATGTTATATGTTATTTCAGGTAACCTCATTGACTATTTCAAACATATAACATTGTGAAAATTGTTCCACAGTAATTATGAAGTATGTCAGATACCACATGCCATACTGGTAATGTATCGTGATATTTATCACAACCTTTGACTTCCTGTACCCTTGTGGCTGCGAATAATGCCAAGGTAGTGATAATGAAACCGTAATTATGACCTGCTTTGTAGCTGTTTATTCCTGTGTGAATAGGTAACGTATTGAACAAGCTTTTAGGATATATCTTATGTTACAGTTATGTTTAATAATCTGATGTAACAGTTTAGAAAAAGGTAATTGTGAGCTACAGAATGTATTTTCCTGATCACCTTGTCTGCCCATGAAATACATCATTGACTGACAATGTAAACGGATATATGTCAGTTTCGTTCGACCAGTTGACTGACAGCGATGTCTTCCAGCCTGTGTTGAAATCCAAATACTTCCTGGTTAATGTGATGATACACATTTGAACCCTGCAGGGGACGGACATTTAATGATTTATTAAATTTATTCCAGTTGGTGGACTGGTGGCTTAGGCTGAGGTGATTAAAATCGACACTTCTACATCCTCAAATATTTTTGTACATCATTACTTTAAACGCATACCAAAACTACAATTAAGTCGTTTCTGTGTGGTCAACCTGGATGTTGCTATATGTTTTGTATGTATCAAGCACTTGTTTACTGACCGTCACTGTCATAATTTCATAAGATACTTTTATGTGTTCGTATCAGCTGTGTAGATCATTGCCTCATTCATTACTGGTGAAATTCATGGTCAAGTATTAATCAGGATAGATTTTGTATTTGTGATCAATGTTTTGTTAAAGTGGATTGTTTTATTGTAGCACCCAACTCATGGCTCTGTTGATGTGGGCGGCGCCTACTTTGGACCCACCCAGAACAGAGTGTTCAGGCTCATCAAGGAACTTGGACTAGAAGTCTACAATGTCAATGAAGAGTACAGGACTGTCCTGTATATTCATGTTAGTGACATACCTTAAATACATTTGTTGGCATTAATTATGACAAAGACTATTTATGAACACATTTAATGATTGGTGCATTATATATCATGACTGAGTGAGTGAGTGGATCCCGTTATGAGGCGGATGGAAGGAAGCACATTGTCAAACTGACGATTATTAAAATATTCTCAACATTTCTAGAGTTTTAAGACTTAATATCTTAATGAGAGTAACAAGACAATTCATTCTTGACCTTTGTAAAGAACCCACCAATTTGTGGACATAATGTAAATTTTGAATTTGGTTGAATTAGAAACACTGTATGGAACTGCTTTTGTTGACAGTCACAAAGATACTACCTCCATGTTTGCGTAATGTCATGTCTGAATATTTTCAGGGTTCCTGGTCAGCCTACAAAGGAAGACTACCATGTCTGAGAAATCCTTTTAGCTACCTGGATCAAAATAATGCAATCAGAACCATTGACAAAATGGCTGCACAGGTACACTGCAAAACAATTGCTTGATTGTTTCTCAAGAAAAACCGATCTTAAAATTGAAATAATGATAAAAATAGCATCCACGAAACACAGGAATTAGTCAAACATATATACAATTAGTGACTAACAATTATCAATGAATTGTTGGTTGCCACAGATTGTATTGAATCAAAAAAATTGTGTACAAGAGTCAAATGTGTTTTTTGTCCTCAAGATAGAGGCTGAATGTGGTGGCCCAGTCTAAGGTGATGTAATTCACTTTGCAGAGATGTGTCACCATGGCACTCCAGGAACACGATTATCCTGGCCTTGGCATGACAAACAAACACTTCTACTGTTAGGCTACTCTTCCACCCACAGGAATGTCTACATATGTTTCGAAACCTCAGAATATTCAGTGTCTAACAGTGTCATGTAAAACATGTAAAACACATCAAATAGTACCTGACTACTGCAGCAGATTTGGACATTCATTTCACGCCTTGGCATTCCATTTTCATTTCATGGCGGACATTCTACTAAGAGTTACCTGCCCTTGCATTCCCATTCCCATGCTCCAAAGGCGAACTAATTTTAGAAACAGGGGTTCACATAATATCTTATTTAATATCGTCTTTTCCAACGGAGCAGTTAAGATGGAAGGTGTCTGGAAAACGAATTGGGTGTGCATCCCCTGCCTCTCTAACTCTCCTCTCAATCAACCAGTGAGCTATTTTCAACATCAGGCCTAGGAGCCTTCACATCTCTCCTGCCACTTAGATACTGGTGTGAGGATCTTGTAGTATTCACACTTATGTCATGATCATCAGTAGCTTCTAGTCACCGCTTGAAGATCTATGAATATGATAAACGTGACACTGGAATGAACATAGAAGTGTGCTGCTTGCAGGTGCCCCTAGGTGCACCCTGGAAGGCAGCCAAGGCTAAGGAGTGGGACTCAATTACTGTACAGGAGTTCATCGACTCTATTTGCTGGACCAGGTAAAGGAATTGTCTTGAATTATAACTAGTGTAATACTGCTAGATGTAAGATGTCACAATGATTTACAGTTATGACGTCACTGTTTTAACACCTCTGTCACAATGGTATTAGACCTTGCTTGACTCATAGAAAGCCGAGAGTCATCACTCTGAAGGCAGTTTCTATCGATTATTATTGGAGAGTTAAAAACAGAATACTAAACTCGCTTCCGTGAAATACCATTTTGATTATACTCATAAAAGTTTTAGTATAAAACTCGCTTTCCCTCTATTGATACCATACCATTTACTCGTACAATAAAAATGGTAACACACGGAAGGCCGTTTAGTATCCTCCATATATCTTTCATCTTGATGGTAGTTATAAAAACAATTCGAACAGTACGGAACACTGTTAGAACTAGAGAGTAGAGAGTAGCTGTTTTTAAAATACTGATGTTTGCTCTTTTTCGGTCTTGCACTTTCAAGTCAATGAGGCATGTTTATTTGTATTTCTGGTATATTTCAGGGAAGTGAAACGAATAATGAAGATATTCATCAACACCCTATTTTCATCTGAGGGCCATCAGTTGTCCCTTCTGTACTTCCTTCAATATATCCACGGTGGACAAAATTTCAACAGGGTGTCTCTCATCACTAATGGAGCACAGGTAAAATGTTAATGTCAGTCTCAACTCCACCCACAGTGACTTCAATGTCAAAATGATGTAGCACAGGTTGAATGTTAGTCTCAGTCTGCCCTCAACCCACAGTGACCTCAATGTCAACATGATGTAGCACAGGTAGAATGTTAGTCTCAGTCTGCCCTCCACCCACAGTGACCTCAATGTCAACATGATGTAGCACAGGTTGAATGTTAGTCTCAGTCTGCCCTCCACCCACAGTGACCTCAATGTCAACATGATGTAGCACAGGTAGAATGTTAGTCTCAGTCTGCCCTCCACCCACAGTGACCTCAATGTCAACATGATGTAGCACAGGTAGAATGTTAGTCTCAGTCTGCCCTCCACCCACAGTGACCTCAATGTCAACATAATGTAGCACAGGTAGAATGTTAGTCTCAGTCTGCCCTCCACCCACAGTCACCTCAATGTCAACATGATGTAGCACAGGTAGAATGTTAGTCTCAGTCTGCCCTCCACCGACAGTGACCTCAATGTCAACATGATGTAGCACAGGTTGAATGTTAGTCTCAGTCTGCCCTCCACCCACAGTGACCTCAATGTCAACATGATGTAGCACAGGTAGAATGTTAGTCTCAGTCTGCCCTCCACCCACAGTGACCTCAATGTCAACATGATGTAGCACAGGTTGAATGTTAGTCTCAGTCTGCCCTCCACCCACAGTGACCTCAATGTCAACATGATGTAGCACAGGTTGAATGTTAGTCTCAGTCTGCCCTCCACCCACAGTGACCTCAATGTCAACATGATGTAGCACAGGTTGAATGTTAGTCTCAGTCTGCCCTCCACCCACAGTGACCTCAATGTCAACATGATGTAGCACAGGTTGAATGTTAGTCTCAGTCTGCCCTCCACCCACAGTGACCTCAATGTCAACATGATGTAGCACAGGTTGAATGTTAGTCTCAGTCTGCCCTCCACCCACAGTGACCTCAATGTCAACATGATGTAGCACAGGTTGAATGTTAGTCTCAGTCTGCCCTCCACCCACAGTGACCTCAATGTCAACATGATGTAGCACAGGTTGAATGTTAGTCTCAGTCTGCCCTCCACCCACAGTGACCTCAATGTCAACATGATGTAGCACAGGTTGAATGTTAGTCTCAGTCTGCCCTCCACCCACAGTGACCTCAATGTCAACATGATGTAGCACAGGTTGAATGTTAGTCTCAGTCTGCCCTCCACCCACAGTGACCTCAATGTCAACATGATGTAGCACAGGTTGAATGTTAGTCTCAGTCTGCCCTCCACCCACAGTGACCTCAATGTCAACATGATGTAGCACAGGTTGAATGTTAGTCTCAGTCTGTCCTCCACCCACAGTGACCTCAATGTCAACATGATGTAGCACAGGTTGAATGTTAGTCTCAGTCTGCCCTCCACCCACAGTGACCTCAATGTCAACATGATGTAGCACAGGTAGAATGTTAGTCTCAGTCTGCCCTCCACCCACAGTGACCTCAATGTCAACATGATGTAGCACAGGTTGAATGTTAGTCTCAGTCTGCCCTCCACCCACAGTGACCTCAATGTCAACATGATGTAGCACAGGTTGAATGTTAGTCTCAGTCTGCCCTCCACCCACAGTGACCTCAATGTCAACATGATGTAGCACAGGTTGAATGTTAGTCTCAGTCTGCCCTCCACCCACAGTGACCTCAATGTCAACATGATGTAGCACAGGTTGAATGTTAGTCTCAGTCTGCCCTCCACCCACAGTGACCTCAATGTCAACATGATGTAGCACAGGTAGAATGTTAGTCTCAGTCTGCCCTCCACCCACAGTGACCTCAATGTCAACATGATGTAGCACAGGTAGAATGTTAGTCTCAGTCTGCCCTCCACCCACAGTGACCTCAATGTCAACATGATGTAGCACAGGTTGAATGTTAGTCTCAGTCTGCCCTCCACCCACAGTGACCTCAATGTCAACATGATGTAGCACAGGTTGAATGTTAGTCTCAGTCTGCCCTCCACCCACAGTGACCTCAATGTCAACATGATGTAGCACAGGTTGAATGTTAGTCTCAGTCTGCCCTCCACCCACAGTGACCTCAATGTCAACATGATGTAGCACAGGTTGAATGTTAGTCTCAGTCTGCCCTCCACCCACAGTGACCTCAATGTCAACATGATGTAGCACAGGTAGAATGTTAGTCTCAGTCTGTCCTCCACCCACAGTGACCTCAATGTCAACATGATGTAGCACAGGTTGAATGTTAGTCTCAGTCTGCCCTCCACCCACAGTGACCTCAATGTCAACATGATGTAGCACAGGTTGAATGTTAGTCTCAGTCTGCCCTCCACCCACAGTGACCTCAATGTCAACATGATGTAGCACAGGTTGAATGTTAGTCTCAGTCTGCCCTCCACCCACAGTGACCTCAATGTCAACATGATGTAGCACAGGTTGAATGTTAGTCTCAGTCTGCCCTCCACCCACAGTGACCTCAATGTCAACATGATGTAGCACAGGTTGAATGTTAGTCTCAGTCTGCCCTCCACCCACAGTGACCTCAATGTCAACATGATGTAGCACAGGTTGAATGTTAGTCTCAGTCTGCCCTCCACCCACAGTGACCTCAATGTCAACATGATGTAGCACAGGTTGAATGTTAGTCTCAGTCTGCCCTCCACCCACAGTGACCTCAATGTCAACATGATGTAGCACAGGTTGAATGTTAGTCTCAGTCTGCCCTCCACCCACAGTGACCTCAATGTCAACATGATGTAGCACAGGTTGAATGTTAGTCTCAGTCTGCCCTCCACCCACAGTGACCTCAATGTCAACATGATGTAGCACAGGTAGAATGTTAGTCTCAGTCTGCCCTCCACCCACAGTGACCTCAATGTCAACATGATGTAGCACAGGTAGAATGTTAGTCTCAGTCTGCCCTCCACCCACAGTGACCTCAATGTCAACATGATGTAGCACAGGTTGAATGTTAGTCTCAGTCTGCCCTCCACCCACAGTGACCTCAATGTCAACATGATGTAGCACAGGTTGAATGTTAGTCAGTCTGCCCTCCACCCACAGTGACCTCAATGTCAACATGATGTAGCACAGGTTGAATGTTAGTCTCAGTCTGCCCTCCACCCACAGTGACCTCAATGTCAACATGATGTAGCACAGGTAGAATGTTAGTCTCAGTCTGCCCTCCACCCACAGTGACCTCAATGTCAACATGATGTAGCACAGGTTGAATGTTAGTCTCAGTCTGCCCTCCACCCACAGTGACCTCAATGTCAACATGTGATGTCAGATGTAGCACAGGTAGAATGTTAGTCTCAGTCTGCCCTCCACCCACAGTGACCTCAATGTCAACATGATGTAGCACAGGTAGAATGTTAGTCTCAGTCTGCCCTCCACCCACAGTGACCTCAATGTCAACATGATGTAGCACAGGTAGAATGTTAGTCTCAGTCTGCCCTCCACCCACAGTGACCTCAATGTCAACATGATGTAGCACAGGTTGAATGTTAGTCTCAGTCTGCCCTCCACCCACAGTGACCTCAATGTCAACATGATGTAGCACAGGTTGAATGTTAGTCTCAGTCTGCCCTCCACCCACAGTGACCTCAATGTCAACATGATGTAGCACAGGTTGAATGTTAGTCTCAGTCTGCCCTCCACCCACAGTGACCTCAATGTCAACATGATGTAGCACAGGTTGAATGTTAGTCTCAGTCTGCCCTCCACCCACAGTGACCTCAATGTCAACATGATGTAGCACAGGTTGAATGTTAGTCTCAGTCTGCCCTCCACCCACAGTGACCTCAATGTCAACATGATGTAGCACAGGTTGAATGTTAGTCTCAGTCTGCCCTCCACCCACAGTGACCTCAATGTCAACATGATGTAGCACAGGTAGAATGTTAGTCTCAGTCTGCCCTCCACCCACAGTGACCTCAATGTCAACATGATGTAGCACAGGTTGAATGTTAGTCTCAGTCTGCCCTCCACCCACAGTGACCTCAATGTCAACATGATGTAGCACAGGTTGAATGTTAGTCTCAGTCTGCCCTCCACCCACAGTGACCTCAATGTCAACATGATGTAGCACAGGTTGAATGTTAGTCTCAGTCTGCCCTCCACCCACAGTGACCTCAATGTCAACATGATGTAGCACAGGTTGAATGTTAGTCTCAGTCTGCCCTCCACCCACAGTGACCTCAATGTCAACATGATGTAGCACAGGTTGAATGTTAGTCTCAGTCTGCCCTCCACCCACAGTGACCTCAATGTCAACATGATGTAGCACAGGTTGAATGTTAGTCTCAGTCTGCCCTCCACCCACAGTGACCTCAATGTCAACATGATGTAGCACAGGTTGAATGTTAGTCTCAGTCTGCCCTCCACCCACAGTGACCTCAATGTCAACATGATGTAGCACAGGTTGAATGTTAGTCTCAGTCTGCCCTCCACCCACAGTGACCTCAATGTCAACATGATGTAGCACAGGTTGAATGTTAGTCTCAGTCTGCCCTCCACCCACAGTGACCTCAATGTCAACATGATGTAGCACAGGTTGAATGTTAGTCTCAGTCTGCCCTCCACCCACAGTGACCTCAATGTCAACATGATGTAGCACAGGTTGAATGTTAGTCTCAGTCTGCCCTCCACCCACAGTGACCTCAATGTCAACATGATGTAGCACAGGTTGAATGTTAGTCTCAGTCTGCCCTCCCACCCACAGTGACCTCAATGTCAACATGATGTAGCACAGGTTGAATGTTAGTCTCAGTCTGCCCTCCACCCACAGTGACCTCAATGTCAACATGATGTAGCACAGGTTGAATGTTAGTCTCAGTCTGCCCTCCACCCACAGTGACCTCAATGTCAACATGATGTAGCACAGGTTGAATGTTAGTCTCAGTCTGCCCTCCACCCACAGTGACCTCAATGTCAACATGATGTAGCACAGGTTGAATGTTAGTCTCAGTCTGCCCTCCACCCACAGTGACCT